AAGCGTCAAAGCATTTCACCGAAGACTTTTGAGCGCTACTGTACATACGTTCTGCTGTTATATTCTCGTCCAACACCCGCTTCTCTAGCTCCTCCGAGTACAGCTCCATACTCAACGACATGTTACACTGTAATCAGTTCGAGCCATTGGCCGTCTCAAGTGCTCTTGTTCAATTTTTCACACGATTACTTCGTGTTACCGATCGATTCGCTATTACGACCCCTCCCTGGCCTACTCGTACACCCCAACAGTAATCCACGCCGGCTTCGTTTCAATGAGATTGCACTCTTCATTTATTTCTGAGCTCACTAGCTCCTCTGATATTAATTCTAGTTGAAGCTCCCTGTGACATTTGTGCGGGAGACTCTCACAAGTTTGCCAGACAATTTGCAACGATTTCAGTTGAATTATCATCGCGACTACTTCGTGTTACCGATCACTTCGCAATTGCGAATCCTTCCACGGACAGCTCGTACACCCCAACAGTAACAGCAGAAGTGTCGTCACGGAGTGACACGCGACGCACGGCATTCGTTTACGTTAGGGTATACTCTGCCTATCTATGGCAGAATTCGTGCCTTAGCCGCTGTTAGCGACCTGCTAGCGATATCGATCGGTTTCTTCGCGTTTAGTTCGGCCCCCAAGTAGCACGGTAAGATTCTCGTGTCCCCCTTCACCGTGGTATGCAGGGCGTATTCGACGCGGCCGATCAATCTTCATCGGGAGTCGGTATTTGTGTCCAATTGTAATTACTTCGCACCTTCCTCGCCCATCCACCACTCGTCTGTGGGGTGACCTCCCTTGATTGGTTGGATGGTGACCTTTCTGGCAGTCTCAGTGTACTAATTGACTTTATGGATTGAAGTATTTAATATTGTGTTATTATTAATAATAGTATAATATTTATTGTTAATAATAATGTTATTATTATTACACATTTCAAAATAGTTTTCGCCTATGTACTCGCGGTAGAACGTTAGAGAACGTGTTGCGCCTGGAAGCCGGTATATTAGCACGTCATGCTTCCCGCTTTTGCTTACCTGCCTTTCGCTAACATATGTTGGCACTTGGGTGTGCCCCGGATTTGTAGTAGCCGTAGCTGCCCCTAGGGTCCCGGAAAACGTAAGGTTTTGGTTTACAGCTCACAGTGCTTGCGGGTGCTGAAAGTAAATAAAAGGGATTCGGAGCTACAGCACTCGAGGGAACAGAAAGGGGAAGTGTAAGGAGTGGAAGGGGAGCATATACATGAAATAGAGGTAGTACAGTGTATCTGGAGGGCTAGCTAAATATAGGGATTCGTAGAAATAAGNCGGGTGCTGAAAGTAAATAAAAGGGATTCGGAGCTACAGCACTCGAGGGAACAGAAAGGGGAAGTGTAAGGAGTGGAAGGGGAGCATATACATGAAATAGAGGTAGTACAGTGTATCTGGAGGGCTAGCTAAATATAGGGATTCGTAGAAATAAGAAGGAGCAAAAGTAGTACAATTCAGACATCGTGCTCATGTGATGACATACACTGTGCAGAGGTGATTTATGATGCATTCATCCACATGTTTAAACACCTTCAAGTGACCTACTCGCGGTGTCCAAAGAAAGCAATGCAGGGTGTTTAAAAAAGGTGGAGGGTCTTTCTGTTAACTAGTTTGCCTGCAGGCGTCTTGTGAGAATGAATGCTGAATTCGTAAGCAATGCGATAAATTCTTTTCCCCTTTTTTATGATATTTGCGGTGGTTATTTTAGCCTCCACACCTTCTTTTGTTTTATTATTTATGCGTTTTATATTTTTCGTTTTGCTTTATTTTAGCTCTCATGCTTTGAATGTAACGAAGTTTCTCACACACACAACCGATATTGTTAGACGTGAGGCTAGTTGTCTGACAGAGAGGTCACCAGCCAACCAATTAAGGGAGGTCACCCACCTCAGGCGACTGAGTGGATGAGCGAGGAAGGTGTGAAGTAATTACAATTGGACACAAATTGGCTCACCCGTCTTCATCAGGTGGTCATTCCACCTTACCAGAAAGAGCAACAATAAAACTATGAACAGATCGCCGGCCTTATGTAGGCGCTTGAAGGGGCAAGGCTGCTCGGCTGCTGTGATTGGTCGATTGGGGACCTGCCTTTGACGACATCTATGGTCGGCGCCATCATTTATCGATTGACGACGGCGTCCTCCACTCTTGGATAACAGAACCTGAGAATAAAGAGACAACAATGCAACAATTTAATATAAAACAACACATTTTCAAAACAATTACACATCACATGCCCGTCGCGGACGAAGAGTCGTCATGTCTCTTGAACTTGGCAATTGTTTTCCTCAGGTGCCTTGTCGCTTTCTTTCCCACCTTGTGCCTGCTTTCCTCTAGCGGCTACTTAAGGATGTGATCTACACGGTGGAAAGCTCGCTCTTCTTCTTTCAGAAATCCTTGCTCTCTCCATTGATGTCGCTCTCTCTTCGCATGGCAGGTCACCAGGGCGTCGAGGCAAAATATTCAGGTCGTTCCTTCTCTGCTTAGGGTCTGCGATGACGAAGAAATCTGGCTTAAATTCATCTCGACGTCGCCCCATCTTCACGCATCTTCTCCGGGTTAAAGATAATCTGGCGGACATTGAATGGAGTGTTCTTGAAGCGCGGGTCCGTTGCGAAGCAAATCGCAGGGTGTGTATACGGAGCGATTTTTAGAACATTCGTGTAGTGGTTTCTCACCACGGCCTCGAATCCTCGTCAGATGTGGTCATGAACCGTACGATTTCCGCGCACACCCTTCCAATCGCCCTGCATTCTTGCTGGTTGGTATCCTCGTACGGACTCGATAAGAACAGAAGCATCCCACCCGGCTGTCGTTGTCTTACCAGGGCCATTAGCAACTGTCTCATAGATCTCCTAGATGGCATCATGTCGGGCCCTACTACGATTATGACGGTGCATATATTGGCTTCCAGCAGCTTTTGAGCTAGGAACTCCCAGTTTTCATAGACGTACACGGTCAATGAGTCACTGTAATCGACTTCCATGTGTCGCGATTCCTGCCGGTAACGCCAGAAATACTGGTTGACCGACTGCCGCGGACGTTCGTGAAAGTTTTACATGCTTTAACGAAGCTAACGCCGTTGTGATGTGACCTCCCACATCATATTCAACGGGCCACGGAAAAAGCTGTGGATGGTCGAGTCTCATGCCCTGGGCAGCGTCGATGGCTTCCGCATAGATGTGACAAGGGCGTCGATGTGCCTCAATGGCTAGAGCTAGCCCGTACGGCGACATGAACTGAGAGTTCTTCATGCGTAGCTCCTCTTCTTTACGCTCATCTCCCCAGCCATCCTGCTCCGAGATGGAAGCCACATTGGCGAGCTTAAACATGTCTGCCACCCGTTCTGATCTGTCCATCCATCGTGATCAGCGTCCTCAAAGAAGTCTTTTTTTTAGAACCATCAGCAAAATGAGTTTTTTTCGGGGTCTCCTCCTTTTTCTGCGGGTCGTAGCTGTTCTAAGGGGCTCGTTCGAGACTCCTGCTGGCAACTTCACCAGCATGTCAAAAGGTACTCGGACAGGGTCTCTGTCCCCTTCAACCCACGATTTAAGGGCGCCACTCTAGCCCGTGTCTAGTACACGGTATGGCCCTTCCCACGGGTTGACCAGCTTAGGTTTTTGAGATGACCGCTCCTCGCGCAGAACTTTTATGTAAACTCTATCAGCGCTCTTCGGTAGTCTCTCAGATATTCGCTCATTCCTATCATATGCAAGCTTCAACCTGCGACGCATTTTATTGCTCTCCTCTCGCGCGTACTCGCGCGCAAAGCTGGTGGCCGCAGTGACTTCCTGCGTATAGCTTTTAACGTCTACTACGCATTTGCTAGGTTCTTGGCGTGGAATGATGTTCCACGGAAAATAAGAATTCGTACCGTAAAATGAACGTGACCCTTTAGTAGACTCATGGATTGTCGTATTATAAGAAAACACGGAAAATGGAAGTATCCTATCTCACTCAGCAGGTACAGCCACCATCTTTCTCAACATTTGGATAATTGTTTGGTTAAATCTTCCAGTCAGGTCATTCTCTCGGGGATTATTGCCCTCCGTATAGCCATGGTCGATACATAGGAATGATCTGGGCTCGTGCATCAACCAATTGTTGAATTCCCCTCCTTGATCCGATAGAATGCGTTTTGGTTGACGTCCTCCAACGACGACCCACTTTCGAAGAACGCTTTAACCACTTCCTAGCTCTCTTTGTTAGAATGGCGTAGGCTCCACCCAACTTCGGAAAGCGATCTATCACGCTAAGTATGTAAGGGTTCCCATTGGACGGCAGCCTTATTTCTTAGATGTCGACGCCTACCAGTCCGTACGGCTTCGATGTAACGATGGTTTTCAACCCTGATGTCATACGGGAGCGATGATTGTGGCACACTTCTGACACTCTTAAGACCTTTGAGTGATAGGCTATTTCATTGTCTCCCACGACAACTCTTTTGACGATTGCCTGGTCATCTTTCTACGAACAGTGTGTCCAGCCAGTGAACCTGAGTGAACAGTGTGTTCCTTGAAAACTGCCTATCCCTTAGACGCTGGGAAAATTCTTCAGACAGAACATTTGTCTAGTAGCGCAAGATAGCCTCGACAAATGACAGCGTCTGCCACTTTGAGCTTCTGGGAGAGTTTAGGGATTGCGATATAATTGTCTAGATTCCCACTCTCCAAGCTCGCTATGATCTCAGCATAAATAGGGTCCTGTCAAAGTTCCGTCGTCTCTCCAGCTCCCCAAAACCGTAGCTAAGATGAGTTCACTAGGGATACACCCCTATTTCTCTTCGTCTAAAGGAATAGCTCCACGACTCAAGACATCCGCTTTTAGATAGATGATTTTCAGGCTATAATTCTAGAGTTCAAGGGCCATCTCAGTACTCTGTCTGCCATCTCAGTACACATCAGTGCATTTAAAATGTGCCGCCAAGGGTTTCTGGTCGGGTGCACATCTTCACTGGAAGTCCGTACACAAACATGTGGAACTTTTCAGTGCGAAAACGACCGCCAACGCTTCCAAATCAGCTACGTGATAGTTCCTTCCACGTCGTTGAAGGTTTTTGAAGCGAAGAACACCAAATGTAGAAATCCATCCTCTTCATCTTGACCTAGGACAGCGCCTAAACCTTGGATGCTTGCATCGGTATGGATCTCGACCGGTTCTTACCGCTCCTTGCTGCCTCGATATTCGGCTGTACCAGTACAGGCGCGTGCGAAATGAACAACTTCAATCAATAGCACGATTTACGAGCAGAATTACACTGAAACAGCGTTTTCTCGGATGTCATCTGAAGTGCGGAGCGGCTACTTTCGAAAATCCCAACCCTTCATGGTGAATGGTGTGACCGAGGAATTCAACTTTCTTATCCAGCACCACGCGTTTACTTAGACTCAACTCAAGTCGTGCTTCCGACAGTACTTGAAAGACCTGTTTTGACACACTTGGAGATGCTGCTCTACTGTTTTTGTCGCTACCATTATATCGTCCAGGTAACAACGTCGTCTCCTAACAAAGGAGCTAGGACCACATGCATCAGACGTTGGAATACCGTGGGTGAAGATGCCAAATCAAAAGGCAGCACCCGAAACTGGTATAAGCCTTCAATTGTTGTGAACGTCGACTTCTTCTTTGCATCCTCAGATGAGCTTATTTGCAAATAACCTGAAGGCAAGTCCGACGTGGAAAAAAATCCCTTGTCCTTGTCCTTCAAGCCATGCAGGATCGTGTCGATTGTTGGTGACCGATAGCTGTCAGTTTTCGTCACCTGATTGACCTTGCGGTAATCCACGCGCAGTTAAGGGACGACCTTTTTTGTGGATCAATACGATAGGCGATGCCCAGCTAGATTCACACGGCTCCTTGAACATTCTCTCCTGCGAATCGTGCAAAATTCGCATAAGTTGCACGAACTACCAGTGGCACAGCCTTGTCGAAATGGCGGTGCATCCCTAGCATCGGTGCTATGATCCACCAGGGTGATCTGAGTAAACTCCTGTTCGCTCACTGCGAACACCTGAGCTTAACGCTTAACCGGTTGCTTATAGTTCATTGTGCTCTTCTGTTATCCTGTTGCCACGTGAGAACTGTACCAACCTCTCTTCCCTATCTGAGGTTACTTCAGCGGTACATTGCAGCACATCACCGTGGTAAGTGATAAGCTCCACCTCCACAATCTCCGTGGGCACAAAGGTTCCTACTTCCTCCCCTACTCGGAAACTCTTTGCTCTTGCAAAGGCGTTTGTAACAGGTAGGCTCAGTGATTGGAACTCTTCATCCCATACCATGTCTGGGAATGAGTGATCTGTTGCCCAGAAAATTCCTCTGGGGTGAAGTTCTCACACCGAACAGGAGCAGATTTCGTTTCTCCTGAGTTTATATACACTCCCCTGATGTCGTTGACTGAGTGCGTGGTAGGTGCCTCTTCTGTTAGGTTACATTGCTGTGACTTCTTCAACAATATCCTCAGTGGAGTGAAATCACCCATTTCTGCAGCCGGCGGTTGAACCGCTGATTTCCTTGGAAACTTTGAATGATACCTGTCGGAGGAAGCTGTTGGAGTATGTTGGTTTCAAGAACCATCGTATTGTCTTCTACTTACATAACAACATGGCGATACTGTGACGTCACCGTCCAAACCGAAACCTACATCCTTTGCTTCTCGAATCATGTGTAGGGGAACAATACTGATTTGGGAGCCTGGGTCTACCAACGCTTCGCATGCCATCCCAGGAACAACGACTTCTGCCGTTATTTGCTCTCCCACTAATTCGCTGTGGCTTGTGATTTCGGCTGATCCACGCATCCACTTTTTGTACGATGCAGTGCAGATTTTTGCTGGTTCTGACGTTTGTTGCGGTTTGCTTACCTTTTCCATGGTATTCCGCTTCTTCGACAACATGTTCTTTCTTCAGGTGCCCTGGTTTGTTGCAATTGTAGTTATTCATGACAAATTTCTGTTTATCCGTTTTCTTTTCTGACTCTTCTTTGCTGCTGGTACTCTCCGCTGTTTCACTGCAGTTCTGCGAGCATCTCGCTTTTTCACTGTAGTGAGTCATGCGCTTCCCGCCTTCCTGACGAACTCGTGGATGTCTTTCTTAAACATTTCGCATTACCTCTGCTACTTCCTTGCTTCGTTCACTTCTGTGAGCCATGGTCTTCACTATTTCATCCTTCAATCCTTTGGGGGCAATCTTCATCGTTGTATAGAGTTGAAGACACTCAAGCCAGTCCGTTAGTTGGCTTACTAGCTCTACTGCTCTTGTGCAGAGTTCTTCTTCCGGTGAGTCCGGATAGGCGTCTCTTGTTAGCCTTTCCAAGTCGGGCAGCATGTTGTCACGCCTCCACTTTTTCTGGGCCGTTTGGGATCTATATATGCCTTCATTTGTATCGCAGAATCATTGTATTTGAACTTTGACCCTAGTTTTTCTACTAAGTCATCAAAGTTCCCTTCTCTGAGACTTTTCGGTTGCGCTTGCACGACCGCTCTAGAGTATCCTTCCAACTTCCATGCAAGTAAATGATTGAGAAGGTTATTCCGCAGCTTAAGATTTTGATATTTCATCTTGAACTTCATGATGAACTCATCGAATTTTCCTCTCTGTGCATATTTGAAAGTCTCTACCTCAGGTGTGGCCATGGCGGCTAATATAAACCAATATCGGTCTCAGAACGGAATGACCGACCTGGGCTGCAGCTCGACGATGACGGTCTCAAAACCTCGGTCTTCGCCCTCCAGCCAGTCGTCTCTTCAGACTGTAACAGATTTTGTTCAAAAGTTTGAGTCATATGCTCAGCGGTATTCCGGGTAAGCTTGCCTTGTGCAGCTGCAACTGGGTCGAAGTTTATATGGTACTGGACATTGTCGAACTCTCTTGCAATCAGCTGCTCACAGACAATCTTTCTAATCATTCCTTCCTCTGAACCTTGCCGGCTTTGCTGAAAATGGAAAGTTTTAGCATGGCTTCTCGGCTTCAATGCTACTTTGGAAGTTGTCTTTATTTCTGTTCTAGGTGCTTACACCTTTTCTGCCTTGCTCTCGATCCACTATTTCGCTTTGTGAAGATTGCGCGCTCAACGATAGTGTGATTGTTTCTTACACTACGTTTTTACACGCGCGGATACAAAGTTCCCACTTGAACATCCGCGCCATCTTCATTTGATTGAGGTTGCACTCTTCATCTATTACTGAGCTCGATAGCTCTTCTGACGTTAATTCTAGTTGAAGCTCCCCGTAACATTTGCGCGGGAATCTCTCGCAAGTTTCCAGACATTTTGCAACGACTTCTGTTGAAGTATTCACACGAGTACTTCGTGTTACCGATCAACTCGCAATTGCGAACCCTTCCACAGACAGCTCGTACACCGCAACAGTAACAGCAGAAGTGACGTCACGGAGTGTCACGCGACGCACCGCACTTGTTTATATTATGGGATACTCTGCTAAGCGGCCTGCTGAGCGGTATATCGGTTTCTTCGCGTTCGGTTCGGCCATTACGTCGCACGGTAGGGTTCTCGTGTCCTCCTTCACCGCGTTATGCGAGGTGTACTCGACGCGACCGATCAGGCTTTATTAGATGGTCAATCCACCAGCAAGCACAACAATAGAGACTGTTAACAGGTCGCCGGCGTTATATAGGTGCTAAAAGGGGCGGGCCGCCGGGCTGCTGTGATTGGTCGCTTGTGGTTCTGCTTTGTGACGTCATCGATGATTAGCGCCTTTATTTATCGATCGACGACGGCGTCCTCCACTCATGGATAACAGAACTTGAGAGCAAAAAGATTTTAATGCAACAATTTAATACAAAACAACACATTTACAAAACAATTATACATTACATGCCCGTCGGGAACGAGGAGTCGTCCCGTTTCTTGAGCTTGGCGATTGTTTTCCTCGGGTGCCTTGTCCCTTCCTTCCCATCCTTGTGCCTGTTTTCGGATGCTCCTCTAGCGACTCCATAAGGATGTAAAGTACAAGCTCGGTGGAAAGCTCGCTCTTCTCATTTTACAAGTCCTTGCTCTCTCCTGGCTCTCTCCGCATCATATGCCACCAGGTCGATACACTTCAACATACATGCATACATACAAACAAACATACATACGTACCTACATACATACCATACCATACCATACCATCCATACCATACCATACCATACCATACCATACCATACCATTCCATACACCATACCATACCATACCATACACCATACCATACCATACCATACACCATACCATACCATATCATACCGTACCATACCACACCACACCACACATACTATACATATTATGCATACTATACATACTATACATACTAATACATACCATACATACTATACACACTATAGATACTACTCATACTATACATACTATACATACTATACATACCATACATACCATACATACATACAAGCTTTTCTTTCTTCCTTATTCAGAAAGGTCTTTTCAATTGAGGTGACGCATTCACGAGAACTGGGTACCGAATGCGGCTCTCATTTTCGATGCAAGAGAGTTAAAGATTTCTCGCATACAACTTAAACTAATCTCAGTGGTGTTATTGGGTTACTACATTTCACCAGCCTTCTTGTTTTATCTTACATCTACTTTTGCACTGACAGTCGTCTAATCACGGATCTTAAAAAGCTCCTAAAAATTTCAGGAGGCATCGTGGCGTCAAACCCCCTGGTTACGAAGTAGTCGAAAGTTCAATAACAATCAATGACACAGCGCTTTCGGCTCAATTGAAGAGCAAGGTTTGATGAGTGCTTTAGTGAACGGAAAAGATTGTGCATCATTTAAAGAATCGACAATTTTATTGCTTGACAATTCTAGCGTGATGACGATGGATCGAAGGCTTTTTTTCAGGATCTCATCCTAGATCTCTTCGTATTCGCTTTAGAAGATTCAACTTTTCGGTAAGACGTTTCAGAGAATCCAGACTGACAAAAAGGCAACACTCATTACTACTGACCAAATAACAAGTGGAAGGCTGAACTGGTTTCATCTTCCTCCAATTCCTTTTCTTAAATTTCGCGTGATGGGCTACATTTATATGTGCAAAGACGTTTGCCTTCCCACTAAATGTCCCGGCGGTTGCCGATATCGTCGCCGTCATCGAAGTTAGCAAATCGGGTGCTGCGGTAGTAATTATTGTGCCAAGCCTCACAATGACTGCGTAATCCTACACTTTTTGAAATTTGGTGACAAGATGGATCATAAGAGATTAGGCTGTTTCATCAATTGCGAGTGATATCTTCTCTCTCCACCTGGAAAATTCCTACCCTCGCTGCCGGTACTCACTCCTTTCAGAATCGCAAAAGTAACCCACGAAATTACTGTCACGACGCCAAATTATCAGCTGGACTATTTTGACTCCAAGTCTAAATCATCTGACCTTCTTGGTAACAAATGGCGGTTGATTGATGGCCTTACACTTGACAACCAGCTTGCCATGATCTTCATAAAGTATTCTTTCGAAGCTAATCTGGACATATATTTGCTTTTATTCAGAATTCTTATTGATGAATCAAAAGGTACTATTCGTCAACGCTATAGGCCACTGGATTCTCTCAAGGAAAAAGAGCCTAAGCAGCAGAAGTGCGCTCTACTTCATGTCAGCTACTTTCATTCTATAAATGTCATCATTCCTTATGAATTGTGCTTGAGGTTCAAAAGCAGCAAAACGAACAAAACGGTATCAGTAATAGTGACGCATGATGACGACCGTGTTGACATCACTCACAGTCCATTCCGGATCGACCTATACTCTAAGGATACACTGGTAATGACGGAGTATGATTTGTGACAGTTGTGGCTTCCTATACAGTTGAGCTTCTTGGGTAATAAGTAAAAATCCTGAGTTTTTACGACGCTGCAGTGCGATATTGTATAATGTCGTCTCATGAAAACTCTAGTGTTAGTCCGTTGCTGAAGTCGAAATTGATCGTTTTATATTCCCTATAGTTTTTTTTATTTTGATGACAGACAGCCTTTTATTTTCTTCCTTCTGAATCGATTATCGCTGGTGTACTCCAACCCCTCGAAACTAGAGGTGATCCTGTTTGGTATTCTATGGTACAAGTGGTTCTAACTCTATGGAGCCTGACATGTTCGGTGATCACTGAAGGAAATTCTAAAAAAGCCTCCCGAAGAGATTGAGAATGACTCCATTCGAGAGGGGCTCGTTAGGTATACGGCGCGTTTCATAATTGCAGACGCTCATGACTATCTGGAGATATGCAAGTTCACAAAAATTCTCTTAATCCAAAAAAAATAACAAGGGGATGTATGAAGCATTGGAAGGGGATCTCTCCCACAGGGAGGAGTTTAAGCTACTATGTAATCGCGCTGAGAACCAGTTCGATTTGGAGTTTTAACTCGATGTATCTGCTGTGCTCGGTTTACATATTTATTCCTTACGCCTCCTCGCAGTAACACGTACGTAAAGCGTTTGCGGGTGCGGCTGGTATACTGCATTTTGATCGTAGGGATGACTTAAGAGCTGTTGCAAAGTCGACTCTAATGGAAAAACCTTCATCAGCGCTGAATACTATGGCTAGATACCCGAATTATACAGATCTACCGCGGCGGCCGAAGACAGTAGCATGGGTAGGCCTCAATCCATTCTGCCCGATAGCCCTCGATGCGACAACACATGATAGCACCACTCCGAAGAGACTGCTGAAACCCCGAATCTATAACAGGCTGCCTAAACGAAAGATGCTCACAAGGGAAGAATCTTGGTCGCAATGGCCATTCAAGAAGAGATGTAAACCCTCCTATATGGTTTCGAACGCTCAATCGAATCTGTGTTCCAAATCTGCTTTGTGTTCCAATTCTGGAAGCAAAGCTACGGAATCGATGCCTCTCTGTGTTATACCACTGTACCGAACGGGTCACCTAGCCAAACAAACCCGTACCTGTGCAACGCAGCTGGTAGGACGGTAGACTGGTAGGAATGACGTCAGGGTTTCATTCCTTGATGCATGCGCTCGTTTTGTTTTTCCATAAAATGCGTCTAAAACACTTGCAATACGTTTTTGAGCTCAATGTAGAGCGTTTACGGGGTTTTCTCTTGATTTGGGAACAATTCAAACAAAAGTGGAATTCTAAACATTGATTCTGGGCTTGAGGGGATTCGAGGAAAAGACTGTAATCGAGCATCAAAAAAAGCGCACTCTTAAAAAATGAGAGACACGTACGTATCATTCGTATGGGCTTTCGTATTAGTCTGTTATTGAGAACTTACGATGTCTTATGTGGTCGCTATCAGGTGCAAAACAAGCGGACCGATCTGGTTACTTGTGGAGATTATCGGATAAGTTGGAAGGATAAGTTATGATAAAATCAATATAGGAGTCCCATCGCATGGCAGTCATTTCCCTTGGATTCCGCTTCAAACCAACAATGAAGGCCGCTTCAAACCAACAATGAAGGCACACAGGGGACCACTTCAAAACAAGTTGGAGGTGGATTCAGGATTTTGAGTACAGCCGTGGTATTATGCTCCACCGCGCCACCACTTTTACCTCGTGAAAGGGTCTCTTGAGAAGGCTCTCACCTCAGTAATAGAATTAGCGGATAATCATATGTTCACAACTATGGGTGTCCCAAAAGTTTTGAAAAAATTCAGCCGCTTTTTTTAACACAAAATAACTACAGCAGGAAACCTAGATCAGTGATCAGGATAGTGGCCCTTCTTAACCACAATGTCTTCCCATCAACCGGACAGATCATTGGTGCCAGATCTCCAGTATTTATAAAGAGAGGCGTGACGCAATTCATTCATCTACTTCTGACTTCTCGACAGCTGGTGAATTTTTCCCTGTAGAACAGGCGTATGGGCCTCTGAAAGTATGGCAGACATACAGGTTGAGGTCAGGTGAATATGTTAGAAGCGGGTTAGTCAGGGTATATCAAGTCTTTCCAACTCATCCATCGACGTCCTGGCGCAGGGTGATCGATCCATTGCGAACGAAAATTTTCTTGTAATCGGTGTGAAATGGGGGTTCGAAACACCACCTCCCTCAGTCGGTAACAGGATACAGGGTCTTGCGTTTACCGTAGTACACTCGGGTGGAATCTCACAGTAAAACACCCGGTTGAGCAGAGGAAGAAAGAGCTCATATCTCTCTTGGTGTGAGCGTCTCGCTTTATAGCGAGCTATGGCCTTAGGTCCACTGTTAGGCATTGCGATTTCCTGTGTGGGTTTTCATATGACATCTACTTTATATCCTGAGCAATGATGGAGTCGGTTGACGTCGTCGTTCGCTTACAGTCGAGAAGCTTCTGGTGCACACCGACTCGCACTCGAGCTGCTGCTCAGCCAAAGAATGGGCGACACTTGCAAAGACTCCTGCTTTAAAACCGACTTTTGCGTCGAACGTCATGAATGTTGGAATAAGGCGTAGGCACCGTCTATTCCACATCCTGTGACTTTGAGGAAGATTGCTCTGACGGGAGGCCAGAACAGGGTCAGTATTTGAGGACAGTGGACGTCCGCTTAGGCAAACTTCGTCAAAGCATTTCTCTTCTGAAAGGAAGCGGTCGTGCCATTTATGGTAGGTGACAACAAAAGGTCACTGCCGCCATTCAGTCACCGTATCTCATTCCGAGCCTAAGTGTCGAAGTGGTCAGTTTCGTAATGGTGAAGCAGAAGGCTCCGGCAGTCGTGTCAGCCGGACATAATTTAATTGATGATAACTCACTTCCAAGGATGAAGTGCAATACTATTCTATTGTTGTGACGATCTACCAAGAGTGCCCTACTGCTTCGAATGCGCGGACGGTATTCCTAGAATGGTGGACCGCTTCTCTCCCAAAGAGGGCGGTGGATGGATGAATCATTCGACCGCCGTATACCGCAAGTGCAGGGAGCTGCCGAAGATTTCGAAGCATCATATTGACTGTTCGGGGTAAAAAGGCGGTAATGTATATTCGGTCAGCAACAGGAAAAATTTTTATTAGATTGCTATTCCTCGGAATCCTGAATTGTGAGGAAGCCCTGTAGATGTTCAACATTGAGTCCAAAAACGTTTTGCAAGCGTTTCGTTTCACAAGTCTCGAAGTGAGGCTTCTTGAAGGTATTTCTGAGAGTTTTCTATTTCTATTCGTTGTTGTAGAACGTTCATCTTGTTACTTTTTGTAGAGCTATCCAAGGTTTGCAAGCGATATTCCGGGTCATTCCTGTTGCACTTGATGTTAACGAGAAGGACGCATTTCATGGAAAAGCAGAACGAGCGCATGCATCAAGGAGCCGAACCTTGATGTCATGCCTACCAGTCCATCGTCCTATCAGCTGCGCCACCGTTGCACAAGTACTGGGGGGGGGGCGCGATTCACGCGTGACCCCATCAGAGCTATTCGCGCACGCAGCATATCTTCAGTGGGATCCTTCTGTAAACGTGTATAGTATTTTTTTACTTATTTCACTTAAAAGATCTCTTATTTCTCCCACTATGATGGTGGGCATGATGTTATAGCGCGTCTCGTCCAATGACCTCACTATATTGACGCGTGGATCGCACCACACCCCAGGTACGGCTTTGTTCGGCTAAGTGATGTAAGATGTTCTCTGACGCTTTCTGATGTCCGTACTTCGGAGCGCATATTGAATGTCCGATTATGCAAGTTATGATGGTGGAGTGCGACGTCTTTGGACTGATGAAATGAAAAGAAGTTGTCTTGTTCACTATACGCCTTTTTCGAGCTGGAAATGCTTTGTTCCTTGGAACATGCGGTAACGAACGTTCCGGCGATGTAGGCGTCTTTCTCAACATACACTTCGAGCTGGTCATAAGAATTGACTTGAATGAAAGTGTACCGAGGAAAATCGGACACTGGTAATAGTGTGCTAGGGTTGGGTTACACTTTCGTATAACTGTAGCTTAACCGGAGCTCCAGCGAACTTTTCCTACGCACCAACATCAAGTTACAACAAAAATGAGCCAGAATCGTTCTATATAAACCTTGAGAACTCTGCGGAAAAACCGTACTTCTAAGCTGTAGTCAAGCTATACCTTAATGGTGGAGTAAGATAACACCGGCTCCAGCAGCATCGCCTTCTCGCCAACAACAAATGTAACAGGAATGACTCGGAATATCGCTTGCAAACCTTGGATAGCTCTACAGAAAGTAACAAGATGAACGTTCTATGTTTCACCAACAACGCTCCTCACAGAAATACCTTCCAGAAGCCTCACCTCGGGACTTGTGAAACGAAATAGGATAACTGTGGTTGAAGCTTGGCCGAATTTATCAGATCGACAATATCACGTATTGTTTTGATTAGTCTTACTCTCAGGAAACTCCAGGAAACCTTATTGGTAGTTGCTTTGTGAGTCATTTGGTGGTCAGTTTTCTCTTATAGTGGATCGGGTCTTTCCCTATCAAATGCCTTCTTCGTTTTTCTTTGCCACTAATGCGATATTGTTTTGGGGATTCAAACTATTACAATCACCTTCAAGAAGAAAGAACGAAAGAATCCGTCTTCAATCAGTGAAGGGAGCCATTGATTCGAAAATTGAGACGCTCAAAAGATAAATCGCTTCGTTTCCCAGGCAAGTTTGTGAGAAAATACCCTATTGACTGTCAGTTCAGCTTGAGGTCATGTAAAGAGACAAGACAAAGAGAAGAACGGTAGCTGCTAGTGGACGCGTGAATTTCGTCAATCCTAATCACATCGCCTTCTTTATGCGTTCGTGGGGAAGCACTGCAAGGTCTTTATACCACTGATGCTTCTACTCCTATTTCACTGATAGCCACCTCCTACCGATACCGTTTACAGGTCGAAAATGACATGCCTTCAACGCAAGACCGATGTCCTTTCGCAGTACTCCCTTCCCAAGTCCAGCACACTACTCTATTGTTAGATTGTCGTCTGGAATCCATTGCTGCTATGGTTAGACGGGAACACCTGAACACGTGTGACATGGATATGGCACTTATACAAAAACTGAATAGTCAAATGATGACAGATTGTTCTAGTTACCAGGCGCGCCTGAGTATACATGACCTTATTTCCAAGGCGAATTCTCATGAAAGTAGTTGTGGGTAATACCATGTGGTGTGCCACCACGTCCTCGGACTGGGATGGTTCGACATTTGTGGTATTTTAGTGGGATCGCATTCAGGGTGGTCGGGTAGCATTCATTTCAAGTTTTCTTCTCGATTGAAATGCTCTGTAGTAGATCATCGGGAGTTGAAACGTTGGGCTGCACGCTGACAATCTCGTGCCCTTTGCGGGCAACGCTGTAAGCAGTAATTGTGGTAGAAATCACCTGTATCATCTGTGATAGTGTTCGTAAGTGTCAGTAATTGTAACAGTAATAGTCTATCCAGACCAACTAAACTGTTTCCTCAAGCCAAAGAACATTACCTAAATATGAGATGTTGTCACAGGGAATTATACGAAGGAGGTGCATTCGTTCTACTACATAGTCCAAGCCTTGAGGACTGAGGTCCCGTGATCTCTACAAAATTAGATAGGCGATTAATCAAACAAACCTATCATTGGTAATTTGGCCTTTGATTTTCACCAGATGGTTTGAAAACCGGCTTCTTGTGATCAAAGGAATCGGAAGAACACTGATTCAATCGAAGGCTGGGGAAGACGCGATATGATAGCAGATCTGAATTGTCGAGATGGGCAATAATGGAAACTGCTGTAAATAACCAACTCCTTCAATCTATGCAGAATTTGCTCAATTGAGCCTTTCATACATACTGATTACGACTGTTTCAGACCCTTCTTTTGTGAATGTCTATGACGATTGAGTTCAGTATTCCGAAGAACAGTATCTGTCTATGAAGTGCGTGGTTTAAGACCCCTATTCGCACATCCGCTATAGGTAACAATAGTGGTATTATGGCGTTTTTACCTAGTCGATTTGCTTCAGAGCCAGCATCTTACGAAAGTATACGCACAAAATCGTTTGAAAACTCAAAGGCAAGAAGGGAAGGTCCACCTTCACAAAGTCGTTCAATAAACGAATAGCACGCAGAACAATTAGAACAAAAACGTGAACCACACCAATTCGTACATTATTAAGTTTATTTTCCAAAAGCGCTGCACACTTGAGGGCAGATGTCATGAGAGTCAGCAAAGTTTGACCGCTCTGATAAATCGCAATCTCAATACTGTTAGAGTTACTGTAATGAATTTTTCGGAAGGTGGTTTTTTCCTTTTTGTCATTTTTCATGTATATATGTAAACACACAGGTGGTTTCCATCAACTCTGGAGGACTTCTTATGGTCGAACCATTCAAAAAAAAGGTGTTCCTGTCAGATCGCGAGAAGGGATATTGGGAGGAGACTTTCAAAGGCCATAAAGACACTAAACCCTTTGGTTAGTGAAACTGAAAGAGTAAAGCAGTGAGGGTTTGGAAGTTTAATCTATCCATCTAGGTTCATCATCTGTTGGTATTGATATAGCTTGGATTGGAATGAATTTCGTGTACGGTTTGCCAGAGCATGCAGAATCGTTCGCATTGCGTGATACGAGGTCGGTTGAAATCAATAAAATTTCGATGTATAAGCCGTATTTCTAGTCTAGAATAGCAATCAATAGGGAAGTCTGTCGAAAACTTAGAAGCCTTGGTACCGTCGAACTAGGCACGGGCCGGAAAAAACAGATGGGCATTATGTACCTTTTGTCATTGTTTTGACGAGCACGCCGATACTAACTGCTGCTTTAGAAACAGTTAGAAACAAATAGTGAGTTAAAAACACGTTGATTGCAGGAACTATGAGCCTTACCGACTTTACAACCTTGATGTATTCGAATATGATCTGAACAGTCCGATGGCTCTCTATGGATCAGTACCCTACATGGTCAGCTCAGAAAAACGAAAAAAAGCTTTCTTGCGGCTTCTGTAGTCCTATGTGAACTGCTCTCTAGAATTTCTGAAATGAGCGCTTCGCAGAGTTCCAAACGGTGAGATTACCAAGTGAAGGATTCAGGTTGCTCTTAACCCCAAGAGAACTATTGGTCTTCTGTGGTTGAACGCAGCCGAAACATGGGTGGACATCGAGTACACAACAGCTGACAAGGTTGAGTCATTTACTTTCCTTCATTGGCAAGTTCGGCCCTTATTCCAGAGTTCATCAGGGAAGGATCCCAAGTCGAAGTGGCGGTTTGATATGAGGCCTAAACTGCTAGACTTACTTCCGGATGCTGATTTAGAATCTGCTTTACAAATTTGCCTAACGATTCTCTGAATGGAGTTATGAGGTGGTTTTAGGGAGACCTCACATGAGCGAACTCCAATTACATGGATGTGACAGGTCTACCAGAGGTGGATTTTAGCAGTGTTAAGGGTGGCACTTCATAAACGATAGTCTAGGGTTCCGGTTCTGTGTGGGGGGAGAATTTTGCATTGTATTGGATTTTCCCCCTGTAGCCTCAAAATTCCTTTGGTGTTGATTTTATCGCTTTCTACGACCTTCTGACAGCTGTGGTGATAACGTTCCTACAAAAACCCTGCTATACCACTTTAATTTTTTTCATGTTGTTTACGCTATATTCACAGTAGGGCGGATGCGGTTAGTAGCAGGAGCACGCCATCACACGGATGTTCCGGAGATGGAACTCCGTTCGAGCCAACCAAGCCTTTCCATCCCTCCTGTGTCGGTTAATTGGCACCAGACTCCCCTAGGTGGGTGTGAAGCACTTATCTGTACATCGGATGGTCACCGCGAATCACTGCATAGACCATATACGCACTTTTGTGCCACTGTGTATGTAATTAAGTGCGGGACGCATCCTAAAGGCGATCTACTTCGAAGTTTTGATTCTGTCAATCCTCTACATTTACGATGAAATTCAGAACGATGTGCACACTCCGCAATCTCAGGCCTCAAGAGATCGCAGGAAAGTAGATGAAGTAATGCGGCTGCACTCTGCAACCACCCACTCTTCTCTCCCATCCCACCACGCCATTATGCTTTGCCTTTGCATCGATAGCCCATAGGTCAGAAGTTTTTCGTGGTGTGCGATCGTGCGTGACGGCCCCGAACACTTACCTCCACAAAAGGGGTGAAGGTAATGAACAGCTCGAACCACGGGGTTCATACAGGCAATCATAGCTTCTGGCCGTTCGAAAATATGATCATCACCTCACACACAATAGCTCCCAATGCGGACTTTTGCTTATGCCCTCGTGACTTGGCTTATTATCACCTGCCTACTTTCTGCTCTGTGCTGTTAGATTTCGAGACTTCCTCACTTATTCATAACACGTTGCCTGCTACTGAAACATTCATCTGGGCTATTTTGATATGTCTACATAATTCTGTTTTCCCCTACATGCAAAAAAATTGAAGCGATTTCGCATGGTTTGATTAAGAACGTTGTCACCACAGCTATCAAAAGGTCGTAGAACGCGATAAAATCAACATTTCTAGGCTACAAGGAAAAAATTCAATACACTGCGACATTCTCGCCCCCCCCCCCCCCCCCCCCNTCGAACCCTAGCCTCTCGACTATGAACCGTCACCCTTGCCACTGCTCCGATCCGCCGCTGGTAGACCCCGTCCGGTAACTTATCCCCGATAAGTTACCAGAACCGGTCCACTAGCGGCGGATTGGTACAGTGGCAAGGGTGACGGTTCATAATCGAGAGACTAGGTTTATCCTAGAAATTATCCTCACGGCGTCGCGTTCGCCGCACCCGATCGCGAGCATCGCGCGCCTTGGAAGGAAGGATTTGAATTCCCAGTGCAAGAGAGACCTTGACCTTTGCCGCTCGCTGTGGGAATTCGGGGAGGAGTTCCTGCACCCTTGGAGGACCCATATAATTCAATTTCACTTATGATAGGCATCCCTAGAATCACCTAGAATCTCCATTCAGAGAACCGCTTGGCAAATTTGGAAAGCAGATTTGAGATCAGTATCCGAAAATGCGTCTAGCAGTATATGTCTCATTTCAAACGGCCCCTTCGACTTCGGATCCTTCCCTGGTCAGCTTGAAATTAGAGTTCTAATTTTTCGTGCTATCAACAACATCTACAGGGGAGCCCGAGTCTATTTTTAATATGCTATAGCAGCACAGGAGCCGTCAAGAAAGCACTCAGCGAGTTTTCTTCATCCGTAAGAATCTCTGTGCGATGATGGTGGTAATTCAATGTACGCGAGTAGTCGCGTAGCTGATTCATTGGGTCAATAGAAATAAATTGTTTTCGTCTCTGCTTGTTGGTGAGACTACAGTATCCGCTTGCAAGCCTCCGACCTCTTGAATTCCAAAGAGGAAACACTATGAAAATGTGTGGTGTTTGTTGATGGGTCCAAGAGGTTTTGTTGCGAGCCCCAACAAGCCTCCTACACTTGACGTTTGGGACCACTAAATGAAACATGATTGGCTGTCAATTATTTTCTTCAGGGTATCCTTGCAAAAGTTGTTGCCGACTCCGATATCCATGCAAAGGAAGTACGGCAAATTAATAGTCATTTCATATCGGAGACTGGAGTCATAGAAGTTTTCGTCACTCTCGGACCTCAGCCACAAGATTCCGTTCGCCAGCTAGCAACACTTATTGGAGTCTACTCTCTTCCACCGGTAATTCATGAGAAAGTAATAACGACTCAGAGTACGATGAAAAATTGCCCTATAACGTGACACGTCATGACCACTACTTTCTTCTTCTTCACAATTCTGCGAGCTTTATCATGATTGTCGTAATTGAAAAATGTCTCTCTCAGGAGTTCTCCATTGCATATCACCAGTCACGTTGGAATTATAACGATCAGAAGGACGTCAAAGAAGTAGGCTCTTTGTGTAAATTCGCGTCAATTTTTATCTAGTAGACTAGACCACAATTTCTGGAATCTCTGCAATGATTATTCCAAAACAATTCACTAAAAAATCGAAAAACGGAATATACCGGCAAGTGTGGGACCTCTTTAGCTCCTGTCTATCCGAGCGTCTATATGGTTTAACTTTTTCGAGAAGTTCTTCAGCTTTAATTTTCAAGGTGCTAATTACGAATACGCTAAGGTGAAGCTATGCTAGGTTCAATCCTGCATTCAATCCTCGTATCATATCATCAGTCCCTTATATTCTATCTCCGTTTTTTCTACCGCAAAGTTGCTCACACCCTTGACGTTTCCCAACGTTCTCACAGAGGATCCGTAATAAGGTGTCGAAAAGAATTGTCTACACCCAGTACTATTCGTACTCGGACGAAGAATATGCGCTGCCCCAATTAGCTCTCGCTCCAATGTCTTCGTAATTTCTTCGTTAATTTTTCAGTGATTTTCGCAATTGATTTCAATGAAAAAATATAACAACAACAACAATACCACATGGAACACCTCAAGTGTTGAGGAATTTTTGCAGCCCAAAGGTAATCTCATCCAGGGTGGGCTCTTCTGGGCTACTGTTCCACGTTCCGCAGTAAAAACTACAAGGAAGTGATGCTACAGTGAATGCAATAAAACACACACACAGTAACCTCTTGCGCAAAGACCATATAGTGTCAACAGAACATATTTTTCTTCAAACAAATTTTTCTCATACAGTTCGAGCTTCTGAGCTCTCTGCCACGGACGACCCCCTGTTGAGCCATACTACTGGGCATCTTTTGCTGCAATGAATTTGAATTTTTCAAGCTTAGAAGCTTAAAGACAAGCTACAATCACATCTCCAAATAACCCCCATTATCACTGACAGAAGCCCAAAAGCTGCTCTCGAACCCCCCTGCATGTGGTATACAGCTATTCCAACTATCGAGATCACTTTCTCCTGGCATCTCTTGATCCTTGCATTCATCACTCCAAAGCGGATACGCGAAGCCGACAGGTCCTCATCCGAACAGCAACCACACGTTGGAGTCAAGTGAGCTGAGATCCGAAGATCGAGATCGAGGCCAATCTGCCCCATCGATAGCTTCGATAGAGCCTGCTCCGTTGCCATCCATTTGTTGTGTCACCCAAGGTTGCGATCGAACAGCGAATAGAAAATTTCATTGAACCTCTTTTTGAAAACACTGGCCTTTCCGCCCCTTCTGGATTTGTTTTTGATTGACTCTGTATCGTTTACTAGCCCTCTAATCTATCGTTTTTGGAGTCTCAAGCAGTTTTACTCTGCACTTCCGTTTCTTAAATGCAGACGATTGCAGGTGGCATTTGATTGGCCTTCACCATTCTAGAGATATGAGGAGTCCCACCTTTGTACCTAGGCAGAATGCAAGAAAACCTACACATGCAACTAATTAACAGCGAATGAAATGAGATTATTGGGTAGTTTTTGCCTCGAAAAAATCTGAAATTTGATGCTCATAATTGTGGGACACTCTGTACATATATGCTATCAATTTCAGAGTGGATACAGTGTGTTAATCCACCCCACGCAAAGTCTCAAAAACGGCGTCCAATCTATATCCAATCAAGAGCACAGCCTCTTTTCAATCAAGAGCTTACCCAATTCTCTGAAGAGCAGGAATGCTTTCTTTGTGGTGGCTACTCTAGTCTGTCTGCACTGTGATGGTGTATCTCATGCTCATTACCATAACGGGAGTAGTAATTGGAAAGTGTAAATGGAAAACAGCAATTATGGTTCCAAAGTTGCAGCTGAATCCAGTTTTTCTAGGTTCACGATGGATTCGACGAACACGACATTCCCTTTGACGTGATGTGGCTAGATATTGAGCACACGGACGGCAAACGCTATTTCACATGGGATCCGAGGACTTTCCCGAATCCATTGGAGATGATAGCAGATCTTTCCTCAAAAGTAGATACGAAAAATCCCTTCAAAAAATTCTCCGCTCCAAAAAATGTGATTTAAGGGCCGTAAATTAGTCACCGTCGTAGATCCGCACATCAAGACAGACAGCGAGTACTTTGTTTACGCTGAAGCCAAGAAATATGTAAGTGCAACATTTTCGTAAGAAACAGGCCGTGCAATTAGTGGTCAAGACTATTTAGTTCATTGCCGAAGTTGTAGCTGTGCGAGTAGAAACCATATAAGGAAATATACGCACAATGTTACTTCTGAAACACGCCTTGAGAACATTTACAACCTTAAATTTTTAGAGTATCTCGGAATCTAGTGGAAGCAATTCCATTTGCCTTGCATACTGAATGAACAGCGTTCGGACATTCTAGTCATCATAACATCGTTACAAATCAGTGAATCATAAGCCTCCCTCTCGCGCGTTTTCCCTCCCCTTTTTTACCAAGTAGGAGTTATCCACATTCATTTCTAAGATGAGTTTCTGAAGTTCTAAATTTCAGCATTTTTCTAATATTGAGATAACCGTTAAGAGAAGAGAAAATTTAATGCTTTTGACCGTATTTGTCATGGACGAACGCTATGCCTTCTAATTTATGGGTGGGGAGGGAATAGAAATTCAGATTCTCAAAGGCACGGTCTACGTTAAAAACGATTTCTGAGGTCTCATTCGAGTATGTAGCTCTAGATCTTCAAGGAAAGAGCAAGGGAGGCTGTCGAGTCGAAAAACAGTAAAGATATGGCGTAATAAGGGATCTCAAAGCCGACTCAAACGATACCCAAAGTGGAAGAGTTGTTCAGCGCTTTCAAACCTGTAGAGGCTGCACCATCCCTCAGGAGACCCATGTTCACAGGCAGCGTATAGCGTATACAAAAGATGAAATGGTGCGCGCGTCATGCAGCCTCCTTTATTACGTTCTCGTCCACCCCCTGAGTCTATTTCCTTTCAAAACTTTACACTTCTTTGAATACGCCGATTTTCGGATTTGTCACGACTTTGAACTATTCTGGATAATCACTTTGTCTAAAACTAAACAACCCGAAATTATAGTGAAATGTACCTTTAAGTAAACGTTGAAGGTTGCAAGGTAATCGGTTCTGTGAGGAGCCGGAAAAATCGTAAACTCTCCTCGGAGTGAGCCAGTTATCTTCAATCAGTAAATAACTCTGGAGGAGTACTTCCTCTATTCATTCCTTCCTTCATTCCTTCATCATTACATTACTTCATTCATACATTCCTTTGCTCCTTCCTTTCTCCCTCTAAAACTTCATTCCTTCTTTCTTTCAGTATTTCATCTCTTATTCCTTCAACCCTTCATTCCTTCATTCCTACATTCCTTCATTCCTTCATTCCTTCACTCCTTCATTATTTCATTCCTCCATTCCTTCATTCCTTCATTCCTTCATTCCTTCAATCCTTCATTCCTACATTCCTTCATTCCTTCATTCGTTCATTCGTTCATTCCTTCATTCCTTCATACCTTCATTCGTTCATTCCTTCATTATTTCATTCCTTCATTCCTTCATTCCTTCATTCCTTCATTCCTTCATTCC